TGCAACTGACCTTGTAAGGATCATGGTTATGAGCAACATTCTTCCCACAAGGCGTTTTTACGAAATATTTCTTTTAGTATACTGATTCTAAGAGGTTTTGGTCTGAAAACTACAGTCGACACATTCATCATTTTCGCAAATCAGGGAAACTATGCGCCTATTTCTCAAAATTAATTTTGTGTCCCATGACCAACTTTGTTCAGAAAGGCAAGGAATATATCATACTATTTTTTAGACAAATCGACTGGGGCCCATTATGTTTAATTTGTCGTTATTATAACCAAATATAAGATATGATAGACATATTTTCTTGTAGTGTTAGAGATTTAACGAGGCAGGTTTTGAAAGTAGCGTGAATACTCTCTAATAAACATGTTTAGTTTAAATTTCATGGTTCTAATAGGTCGATTGTAAATAATGTGCATATACAGACTGTAACAAAAGTTTCTAACGCATCAAATATCTGACGAATGACTCATCTAATTTATTTAAAAATTAATTTATTTAGGTTCGGAAGCACGGCGGATTTGTTGATGATATCCGCGATCTTACCAAATCCACAGTTATTCAGAAACTGATAGCAACTTTTGTTTTTCTTATGGAATGCTATACTTTTCATTCGAAATTTGCATTCTGCGAGTAATTCTGAATACCTTTTATCAAACATCCTTTGACGTAGACCTCATAGTTTTCGAAATAACAATAAAAGGTATTTCTACAGGGTGTTTCAGTTTATTGTTGCATAACTTTAAGATTCGATAGAACTTTTAAAATTAATACATACAGTCTATATAAACACGGGTTTTACTTTCTAAAATAGTTTTTTTAAACATTTCGAACAGTATTTCATGTATAACAGTGAAAATTGGTAAAATTGGTTTTACTGTAGCCGCTAGAGGGCGCTCTCTACTGTACCTGTAGTGTATTAAAATGACCGAAAATTTTTTCTTAGTGCAATTTTTTGCTTTTTGAATAAAAAAGCTAATTCTTCGCATTTTTCAACATAAAAAAGCTCTCTTGTACATTTTCGTTATAGTTAGCCGTTTTTGAGATATTTCGATTTTTAAGGTTCGATGCATTTTTAATTATTTATGATAAAATAACGTTAAAAAGTCAGTATCTCGATAATTTTTAGAAGTAGGCTGTGCCTGCAAATATTTTAGAAATTGAAAGCAGAATAAAGTTAATTAGTCAATTAGTTGACAGTTAGTTTTGTTGTCTGTTGAAACCTGAAACGTTTTTTTGCAATTGTGAATGCACGAAATTTAGTTTCTTTTACCTGTTTTTTTGTAAGTTTTATAAAAATGCCATTTTTATTCTCCAATCAAGAGTTAGCGGATAATCATTTTGTGTATGGCTTTGTATATGGAAACGCAGCAGAAGCAGCCAGAGAATACGCACGAAAATTTCCAAACAGACGACATCCAACTCGCTCAGTATTTGTAAGAGTGCATCGCCAAATAATTGAAAATGGTTTTGGAAATCTCCAAAGGGATCAAAACATAAATGTTCGTCAGCGCAGATTTACCCGTATGATTCTGCGTGAGTTTGATAGAGATCCGACCACAAGTGTTAGGATAGTTTCTGGTGCCTTGGGAATTTCAGCAAGCCATGTTCACCGTGTTCTTAGAAATGACCATAGACGTCCTTACCATTTGCAACCTTTGCAAGGACTACAGCCAGGGGATGGAGAACGAAGAATCATATTTTGTCAGTGGATTCTTGATAGAACTGATAATAATAGGGAGTTTTTAAGTGACGTTTTATGGACCGATGAGTCATGCTTCACTAGACGTGGAGTGGTAAATTTTCATAATCAACATTTTTGGTCGCATGAAAATCCGCATGCAGTTCGGGAAAGAAATTTTCAGCATGAATTTAGTGTGAACGTGTGGATGGGTATCTACCGTAATCGACTATTTGGACCCTACCTTTTGCCTGCAAGGTTAAATGCTGCGACCTTCTTGGAATTTTTAACGGCTGAACATGCAAATATGTGGGATGATGTTATGTTAGATTTAAGAATATTGGCCTGGTTCCAGCTTGATGGTTGTCCAGCTCATTATTCGAGAATAGTTAGAAACTGGCTGGACGAAAATTATCCAGAAAGATGGATCGGCCGTGGACGACCAGTCGTCTGGCCTCCACGATCCCCTGACCTAAATCCATTAGATTTCTTTGTGTGGGGATTTCTAAAAGAAAAAGTGTACCAGACTCCCGTAACCACAAGAGATATGCTAATAGACAGAATCAGGAATGCATGTGATGAAATAAGGCCTTATTTGAATAATGCTATACCACGTACGATCATTCGTAGATGTGAATTGTGTATTGAACAATTGGGTTTAAATTTCGAGCAACTACTTTAGATTTTGTATGTTTGTCCTAACTATCCAATAGCATTTTAGTTGTAAATAATTAATTTAATTTGTTAAAAATAATATTGGAAAGTTAAACAAATTAATATTCTGTTTTTTTGTGTTTATTTGGAGTTAGGAATTATTGCTGTGTTTAAAACACAATCTAAACGATCATCTTAATTACTTGCAATGCCCAAATCGAAAATGCAAAAAAATATTATTTTCCCATAAATAATTAAAAATGCATCGAACCTTAAAAATCGATATATCTCAAATACGGCTAACTATAACGAAAACTCACAGGAGAGCTTTTTTATGCAGAAAAGTGCGAAGAATCAGTTTTTTATTCAAAAAGCAAAAAATTGTACTGAAAAAAAATTTTCGGTCATTTTAATACACTACAGGCACAGTAGAGAGCGCCCTCTAGCGGCTACAGTAAAACTATGTCCATGGTTCGTTTTGTCGTACCAAAAAACCCTTGTATACCAATTTTGACTGTTATACATCAAATATTGTTCGAAATATTTAAAAAAACTATTTTAGAAAGTAAATTTAAACACCCTGTATTTCGGAAGCCACGCATTTTTCGACCCATGTTTATATAGACCTTATGCATTAATTTTAAAAGTTCTATCGAATCTTAAAGTTATGCAACGAGAAACTGAAACACCCGTATATTCAAAGCCTTATTTTCGTTAATGGCTGTTTTGGGACATCCAGATCGTGGAAAATCCTTTACATGTCCTATTTTTTCAAATTTCCGCAAAACTTTTCCAACAGTAGACCTTGTTATTGGATTCCGGTTGAGATATTTGTCATTAAAAATATCGCAAACTTCTTGCTGTGTGCGTCGACGATCCCCATAACCCAGAATCGTTAGAATTTCTATTCTCTCGGTTTCATTTAAATGATAATCATTCTCAATAACACTACTAACAAAACTCAATGGACTTATGAATGTAAAAAATGATAGGAAAACACTTTCGATACCGGTTATTGTTCAGTTAAAAAACATACGTTTGATTGTTCGAATATTGATGTTTGACCGCGAATATTTCGAAAACTATGAGGTCTACGTCAAAGTAAAGGGTTATCCAATAGGGACGTAGGAAAGTAAACGTCAATTTGACATAGACGCCATCTTTGTTTTCTGTCACCGACATGTCATTTTGTTAGTTGAATGTTTACCATTGATCGCTACGGAGTCGTATTCGATTGAAGACCGCATTAAAGTTATTCAAGAGCACTACAAAAATGGTGCAAAAATAAAAAACACGTTTCGCGCGCTTCGTGAACATTTCGGTCGCAACAACCGCCCAAACGAAACAACCATCGGTCGTCTGGTGCGTAAATTCGAGGCAACAGGTTCTGTGGCAAATCTGCCAGGCTCTGCCGGCCAAGGAGCGTTCGCACACCGAAAAATATTGCTGTTATGAAGGAGAGTGTGAGAGACGATCCGAAACAATCAACAACGCGTCGATCCCAAGAATTGGGCATTTCGAGAACCAGTTGGCTCCGCATTCTCCACAAGGATTTGAATGTACACGCCTACAAGATCCAATTGACGCAAGAGCTGAACGTTCTCAGATTGGCTCCTTGAACACCGCCAAATTGATGCCAATTTTTCATCAAAAATCATGTTCAGCGACGAAGCGTATTTCACTTTGAATGGGACGGTAAACAAGCAAAACTGCCGCATCTGGGCGAACGAAAATACCCGTGAGTATCAAGAGCAGCCGATGCATCCTCAAAAAGTTACTGTGTGGTGTGCATTGTGGTCAAAAGGCATCATCGGGCCTTACTTTTTCGAAAATGCGGCCGGGGACGCCGTTACCGTCAATTCTGAGCGATATCACGTGATGATAGAGGACTATTTTTTGCCGCAACTTGAAGGAATGGATATGGACGATGTTTATTTCCAACAAGACGGTGCAACATGCCACACAACCAACGTCAATATCCATCGATTGCAGTCCTTCTTCGGTGATCGCGTGATTTCGCGCAGAGGAAATGTGCCATGGCCACCAAGATCGTGCGATTTGACTCCCTTGGACTTCTTTTTATGGGGATATTTGAAAAGCAAAGTCTACGTCAACAAACCAGCCACCCTCCAAGAACTCAAAAACAACATCATTGCCGAGATAAATGTCATAGAACCGACCATGTTGCAAAATGTCATTGAAAATTTCGACCATCGCGTGGACGTCTGTAAATCCAGTCGTGGTGAACATTTGAGCGATATTATTTTTCATACATAAATGGTATAAATGAACCTTCAAAATAAAGTACCCAACTTGATTTGAATATCAATCTTTCTTGTTTTAATATGCGTTTACTTTCCTGCGTCCGTTTTGGACAACCCCATATACGAGTATTTTAATAAAAGTATTCAGAATTCCTCGCAGAATACAAACATGTAATAAATTGTATAGCATTCCATAAGAAAAACTAGAGTTGCTATTAGTTTCTGACTAAGCCTTCAAATTAAAAAAAAATTAGATGCATCATTCGTCAGATATTCGATGCGTTCCAAAGTTTTGTTATAATCTAAATAAATAAGCAAATATTATTATTCCTCCCTTCTATGAAGAGGCACCAGAGGCACCTAACGTATTTTGTCTAGAAAATGGTGCTACTTACGCTAGTATCTTTGGATTAATGAATGTCAGAAGATCTCCTAACGCCTTGAGAATGGATCCAGCTACGAAGTGAAGGCCAAAGGACTTTATTATAGCTGGAAAAACAGATACCCGTTTTTTTGGTTTTTTATCCGGCACAAAATCTACATTCTCAAATTTTCCATTGAACTTTGCATCATTGCCATTTGGTACCGGTAAATATCTGAAAAAAAAATGTTCATTTATCCTTTGCTTGTTCGAAAAATTGATCTGTCAAAACAGTTCGTTTGACCAGCTTGATAGCTAAAGTTAATTCAACCGCATTCATCAAAACATGTTAATAAAGATTCGTACCACTTATACAGGGTGTTCCTTAATCATATGCGAATATTTAACAGTGTGAATCTACATGAAAAATTGATGTTAGTTTGCTTTATAAACTATGGACAAAAATGTTTGATTAAAAGCTCGGGGTGTTGAAGCTTTAGGAAAAAAAATGGAAATTAATTAATATTTTCAGAACCGCTTCAGATATCTCACTGATATTTAGTACGTAGTGAAAGTTAATAAAGTTGCATATTTTTCAATGTAAAAATAATTTTTAGCTTTAACAGTGGCGTGCGTACGGGTATTGACTTCGATATTTTTTAAGAAAAAATGGTACGCCAATGGTTTTTTGCCAAATGAAAATTATTTTTGAATTCCTCGTTCGATTCAAAACAAATGATGTCTCTTGAGTTGCTTTCCTTCGATGCGCCATTTTTGAGTAAAAAAATAAAAACCGCACTGGTATCATGTAAAAAACCTACAAAACGTCAAAAAAACATATAAGATGTCAACTTGGAGACTAGGTAGTTTTTAGGGCGCAAACAGTCATTTCACGTTTGCTCATTAGGATCGTTGTGTACGTCCATCTATAAAGGAATCACTCAACTAAACTACACGCATTATTGGTTGCATAGCTTTGTGATCCGTGTCTGTAGTTTTTATCTCTGAGAAGAAAGTTGGTTGAATAACAAGGTCGCATCTGGATGATTTTGTGTATTGGTTTGCATATGCTATATTTGCTGTGTGAGAAAATTATTACTGAATATGGTGAATATGACGGGTTATTTATATGTTGTGCTTTCTGGAGAGAGGTTCAAAGTTATACATATACGAAAAACTAAGGAGAATTACGGGAAATCAAAACCGCGCCCGCGTTGTGTGTAATTACTGTTAGCATGTATATAGCTTGTAATTCGACAGTGTATAGTGGATATAATTATTTCTTATCTCTCTCATTTTTGAAATTCAGCAAATTTGTATATGTAATTTCCAGAATGGATAAAAAAAAGTGGATGCGCAACTAATTTCTAGCTTTGAATCTCAATTAAGTGTATTTAAGATAAGAACCCAATGTAATTATCATCAACCCATACAACTTACAGCTTAGACCTCCATATAGGAGAAAAAATAAAACAAAAAATAAAAAGAACTGCTACCTAAAAAAGTCAGAGTCATCGGGAAGGTTGCAAAAATTTTTGCTATAATTTATGTAGGGTTGGGGGTGGTTTTCATCCTTCTTGAACCATTTTTTATGGAAATCATGAGTTCCAAATTCATTTAAATCGGATCATCGGTTCTTAGAATATTTGAAAAATGTGTTTATAAAGAAAAAATTGAGGCCCCCTAGCGAACAAACGAAGCACTTTTGCATAATGGTAAATCATGTCCAATCGACTTATTTTGAATCTAAAAATGCCTGGAACTTCTATGTCCACGGAATATTGGGACACCCTGTATAGAGGTTGCTGTATTTAATAGGAATTTTTTTAGCATCAGATCCTGAATGGATTAAAAAAATAAAAACAATCGTACAACAAAATTAATAGGTAAGCTGAACAATATTTTAGACGTATTCAAGGACGAAATTAGAGGGAAACGCCCCTCCCCCCTCTCTGGACTACTAAGCCTGCCATTTTTTCAATAAAATGCTACAAATCGCTACATCTAGGAGCTAAAATTACCGTAATGTACCTGAATCGTGGAGACGTGCCCCCCTAGACGTATCACATAGCGGCATATACAGGGTGTTCGAAAAATAGAGGAGAGGATGATTCCTCGTTAAAAGTATGAGAAAAAGTTTCTATAAACATGGGTCCGGCATGAGTATCATGTAAAAAACCTATAAACGTGAACGTCCATCTATGAAGGAATCACTCAACTAAACTACACGCATTATTGGTTGCATAGTTTTGTGATCCGTGTCTGTAGTTTTTATCGCAGAAGAAAGTTGGTTGAGTAGCAAGATCGCATCTGGATGATAATGTGTATTGGTTTGCATGTGTATAAATTCAGTGATATTTGCTGTGTGAGAAAATTATTACTGAAGGTATGGGCACACAGCCGGCGGGACGTGACGGCAGCGGAACGCTGGCGTGCCGCTAGTCGTTGTAATACATTCTTTAATATAAGAGACGTTACACAGCCCCGTCCCGCTTGACGCGACGCAGGCCGTGACGCACCGTCGCCGTCACGCCGAGCGCGATTACAAACACTACTGAGCGGGACGGGAGCGCATGCGGGTGCGAGCGGGAGCTTCGACGTTGTGTTCCATTAGATGCGTACTTAGTAGTCACACAGAGAGCGGCAAGCCAACGTGTGGCGCTCGGCGGGACAGATAGTTTGTGATTTACTACAACTTTTGGGCCAGAAAAATGGATATTGAACGACTAATAGAATGTGTTAGAAGTCACACATTGCTGTATGACTTAAGTCACAATGACTACAAGAATATCACTCTCAAAGCTACTATTTGGGAGTCAATAGGAAGGGAAATAAATCAAAGTGGTAAGTTTATTATGAATTAATTTATTTGGTTGTTATTAAAATAAGTTACAAACTGTTCTCTAATCGCAAACGCTTCGTTTGGAGATCGCTGATTTGTAGGTCTCATTGGAGTAAGTGCGTTTGAATCGTTGGATATTTCCATTGGATCCGTTGTGAACGACATGTCCTTTACTCTGATGTAATTATGCAAACAACAAGCTGCTTTAACAACATGGATAGCGGTCTCGACGTCACTTTCTATAGGTCGGTGGAAAATTCTAAATTTCTGTGACAAAATACCAAAACCATTTTCAACAACGCTACGAGCTCTGCAAAGCCGATAATTAAAATTCTTTTTTCTCGGGTCATGAAGAGCAGTTGCTCTAGGAAATGGCCGCATCAAATATGGTTTCAAAGCAAAACCCTCATCTCCTATTAATACTTGGGGTGTAGGATTTTCATTTCCTGGAGGAGGTTTCGGGGGTAGGAGTGATTTGCCATTTAGGTATACTTGATAGAATGCAGAACTTTCAAAAATTCCACTGTCACTCAGCCGTCCATAGCTCCCTATATCAACGAATATGAATTTATAAAACGGGTCCACAATCGCAAGCAAAACAATAGAAAAAAAATTCTTGTAACAGAAGTAATTCGATCCGCTGTTAGGAGGAGATTTGATAGCTACGTGTTTTCCGTCGATACTTCCCAGACAATTAGGGAAGTTCCATATTTGTCTATAACCCACTTCTGACTGCTTCCATATCTCCTCTGTTGGTGTTGGCATATAACTTGGTTGCAATACATTCCAAATTTCTTTGCATACATTTTTTACAATACCGCCAACTGTACTGCGTCCAACACGAAAAGAAAACGCAATGGTTTGGTAAGAGTCGCCAGTGGTTAAATACCTGCAACAGAGAAAATAAAAATGAGAATAAACAACAACAAAATATAATACATATAATTAAGCAAATATAAGATATTACAGATATTTTATATCCAGCTATACTGTACTGTATTGGAAACTGATTTTTGTGTAGTCCGTTTATCGAGGAAGGTTATAGGCTATATAACATCACGCTACGACCAATAGGAGCGGAGAATGAATGAAATGGGTCACAAAAAATGGGAAATAACGTTACTTTTCATAGTTTAGATATAACCACGGGTGCGGAGCCGGAGGCAAAGCCCTAGTATTATAACAATATTTTCTTTAACTATTTTTTTGTTGTTGCAGGGGAAGCTGTTAAAAATAAATGGAAGACATTAAGAGATGGATACACAAAACATAAAAAACTTGTCAAAGGTACAACTGGATCAGGCCGGAAAAATAGCAGCTAAACATGGGCTTCACAGCTATCGTTTCTAGATAACTTCAATGGTCCACGGGCTTCCAGTTCAAATGTCACTTTTTCCAGTTCAGTACAAGATACGTTATCACCTTTACCTACTCAAACATGCGACTTTTCACACGATCACCATACACTTCAACAATCATCGTCATCATCCAATCCAATACTTTCGTCAACGCTTTCTCCGTCACAGGTCTCATCACCAGATGTGCCAGCAAATGTACCTACAGCATCATCATCACAAGCTCGTACCGTGCCATCTCGGTATGCAGGAAACAAAAGAAATGATGACGATGTAGGAAGAGTATTAAATTTTTTAAATACCAAGAAGAAACGGGAATTAGATGGGATAGATTATTTGTTCCTCAGTTACGCTGATACTTTTAAGAAATTTCCTCCACGAGAACAAGTATTGATGAAGCTTGAATTAGCTAAACTATTTTCAGATACTGAGTTAAGATTGCTAAATTATGATTCACAACCATCACCTGCATACACAAATGTGAGTTCTGCCAACAGCGCACTCTCATCGCCTCAGCCAATGAACTTATCTGATAACTTCAACCAGCCAGCTGAACCACACAATCTAAGCATTGTGAATCAATATGATAACTCCAATCAGCTAACCGAATTGCAAAATGCACTGAACTTCAACAGCAATCTGCCAGCCGAATGGCAAATCAAGACAACACTAACAATTCATGCATCGGAGAGTACAATATGAATTTTGCTCAGTAATTTTTATTGTCAATTTTTATATTGTATTCTTAGTGCGTTCTGATTATGAAACATGTCAACATGACCTGATTTCAATTTTTGTCATCAGTCCTAGAAAATAAATAAAAAACTTACCTTAAGCATATTGCCAGTCTTTCTCTTGAACTAATAGCCCTCCTCCAAGTAGTGTCCAGTTTGCTAATTTTTTCCTTTATCAAATTGTGTAATTCTTCAAAGCTATCTTGCGACATTTTAAAGTAGGTATAAAACCTATCTTCATGGGATTCGAGTTCCCGGCAGAGTCTATGATATTCGCCAAGTTCATGTCGCTTTTGGTTTACCT